TTTTTTTTTTTTGCATTTGGATGTCCAGTTTTCCCAGCCTCAACTTATTGAAGAGACCATCCTTTCCCCTTTGTATATTCTTGCCTCCTTTGTCATAAATTAATTGACCATATATATATGGGCTTATTTCTGGGCTTCCTATTCTGTTCAGTTGATCTATGCAAATACTATACTGTTCTGATTACTCTAGCTTTGTAATATACCTTGAAATCAGGAGGTATGTATTAAGTTTCCAGCTTTATTCTTTCTCAAAATTGCTTTGGCTATTGTGGATCTTTTGTGGTTCTATACAAATTTAAGGATCATTTGTTCTAATTCTATGAAAAAGGCCATTGGAATTTTGATAGGGATTGCATTGAATCTGTAGATTGCTTTGGGTAATGTGGACATTTTTAACAATATTAAGTCTTCCAAACAATGAATACAGAATAGCTTTCTATTTGTATATTCTTTAATTTCTTTCATCAATGTCTTATAGGTGTTAGTGTACAGATCTTGCACATTCTGGGTCGAATTTATCCCTGGGTATTTTATTCTTTTTGATGCAGTTGTAATGAGATTGTTTCTTTTATTTCTCTTTTGGATAGTCCTTTGTTGCTATATAAAAATGTAATATATTTTTGTATATTTATTATGTACCCTGCAACTTAGTTTATTAGTCTCCTAGTTTTTGGTGGAGTCTTTAGGATTTTTTGTATATAAAATGTCCTCAGCAAATAATGACAGTTTTACTTCTCCTTTTCCAATTTGATATTTTTTATTTTAAAATGTTAGTTTCTCCTCAAAGATTTTGATGGCTTTCTATCTTACATTTAGGTCTTTCATCCATTTTGAGTTTATTTTCGTGTATAAGAAAGGTCCAGGTTCATTCTTCTGCATGTCTCTGTTCAGTTTTCCCAGCACCACTTGCTGAAGAGACTGTCTTTATTCCATTGAATGTTCTTTCCTGATTTGTCAAAGATTAGTTGGCCATACGTTTGTGGATCCATTTCTGGGTTCTCTATTCTGTTCCACTGATCTGAGTGTCTGTTCTTGTGCCAGTACCATACTGTCTTGATGATGACAGCTTTGTAGTATAGCTTGAAGTCCAGGATTGTGATGCCTCCTTCTTTGGTTTTCTTTTTCAAGATTGCTTTGGCTCTCCAAGGTCTTTTCTAGAAATCTGAAGAATTTTAGACTCTCTTCAAAATGATTTGATACAAGGCTTTGTGACTGTTAATAAAGATGTTATACATACATGTGTTTTTTGACCAAACATGTGAGAGAAGATTTTTGTTCCCAGGAAAGTTCACAAACCACAACATCTTGTGCAAGTATACCCAATAGGGAGGAACTATTTATCTTTTAACAATATCATGATAAATGGACAAATGTTCTTGGCTATAAAGTGGAAACAAGATGATCAAATTTGTTTCTGATCAAGGGGATTGCTATTCAAGTAACCAATATGCTATTCAATATCTAAATGTCTAATACACGTAACTTTTTGAACAACAAAAAAACTAGTCTATTGGCAAAATTTTTCTTTTGCCACACTAAAAAAATCTAGTTTTACAATGCTGTTAAAGATTTGCTGTCTTAAAAAACATTGAAAAGTCAGGTTTTTCTCATTAACAAAGCATAAATAATACAAACATGACTCTTTAAGATTATAAGTTACCTTTCAAGTCTTTCTTTAGTTTTCTGAGATCTTTTTGAAAATCTTCAAACTTCATCTGTGAAGCCTGAAAAAGGTCCTGAGGTTCTGGCAGTGGAAAAACACACTGTTCTTTTCCAGCATCCTAATTAGCAAAAACACATAATTTTAAAACAAATCAGCATCAATATAAATAAAAATAATACAACAATGGCAATGGCAAAATAGCAAAAACTGCCAAATCACTCAACAATAAACAATAACAAAATATCACTGTAAAAATTGCCTTACCTCATCAAAATTTCGAAGATAGTAGGAGACAATGTATGACAAAAGGCTTCTGCTATTGTCCTAGGCAGAAAGACCAAAGTAAGTAAAAATATATTTTTTAAATATTACAGCGTCAAATAAAATAGATTCCAGTAAATCAACACACAGATGAGAACATTTAGAATAAAATGTGAAATTCTATATTTCAAAGTACTACAGCCCCTACATCTAAGGATTTCACTGGCACAGAAGATCCTGTTTTTCCCCAGTGTTTTAATCTAAGCCCCAAGTGGAAACCCAGCTGTTCAAGGGTGGAGTCTCAACTGTGAATACTTTCCTGTTTTACCCTTTTTGATCAGAAAATTAGTTCACTAATTATCATGCTTTATGTTTAAAAGTATAACTACTATCTTAACTGAAATGATTAAACATTGCCAGCATTTCTATACCACTTCTGGACCAGCAGGTATCAATCTGCAACAGTAAGTTTGATTGAGGCTTGTTAGTAGATAAAGAAAATAAAGTTAAGTACAATTTCAAGTCAGCAGGAGCTTTAAAAATGCGAGTCTATATTATAAATTGCTATGTCAGCATCTGAGATTGTGGAATTAATATCCAGGTAGCTATAAACAATGCGGTGTGTATTTCTATGTACACATAGAATTGTGTACATGTAAAAAATGTAGAATTGTTTCTATTCTAACAGGCTTCAAAGAATAGGTTTTTACCTCCTTTCTGGCACATTTAAAAGGTATTAAGTTTTCATCATTCAAAATTAGAACTAGATACTCTGAATGTGGGAGGACAAATACACACACACACACACACACACACACACACATATTTAAAAACCATATGACACAAACTACATTCCCTGAAATGTTCAATCTAACGATTATTTTCCTTCTATTTATAAAAAGCAATAGCCTTTCATAATTTAGTTTGACATATGATAATACAGCTTTTAGAGACTTTCTTCATTGTAATGTATAGTAATAATATAATAAGATATTATGCAGTAATATCTTAAAATAGTAAAATTAATATATTTTTCAGGAACATCATTTGCTTGCATATAATTTAACCAACTTTCCGTTCTCTTTCCTAATATAATTCAAAGAAATATGCAGTACAGTTAGCAGTACTTGAATGAATTAACAAAATATTTATTAACTGCCTGCTGATAGGCATGCTGAGTGAAAATTCTGAGTGATCTGAGTAACAGCTCTGTCCATGCAGGTCCACAAACAGTACTAAGAAGTAGACACAGTTATATTCATTTTATAGAGCAAGAATCAAATCAGGAAGACTAGCATAACTCTACGCGAATGCAAATGAAATTATTAAAAACAAAAAATCTTGCTTCTTGATTTTATTATGTAATTTTTATCTAGGATACTCCTTAATTATTTAAATTAATAAAATTTAACTTACTTGGAGATTGAATAAGATATACTAACCAATAAAAAAAACCCAAATAATCCTTTATTCATATGTAATTACGATTATCAGCATCTATCTCAGATCCATTTTTATGTTAAAAATTATGTCAATGATATTTACGTTCCAGTATTATTTGAAAAAGTTACTTGTTTCAATTCAACAATCAGTTGTTAAGAACTATTCAATGCTTCCAAGAGACCTTTTGCTTTTGAACAAATGTGATTTATCAGGTTGACATACTGGAGGTTCCTATGAAAATTTGTGTCATACAAATATACTAGCATCTGAACAAATATACCCATAAAAAATCACAAAAATTACATGCTGCTGGTATTCCAAGAAAGGATTATGCTTTATTCAATTCTGGAAAAGTAGTAACTGGTATTTCACTGAACTCAATGAAAGAATGTTAAATGAATATATGAGTGTATGTATGAATGAATGAACAAATGAGTTGTTGACCACCAGAAACAACAACAAAAAAAGTGTCTGTTTCTTATGAGGGAGACATAAAGTGAGCCTTGAACAACATGGGTTTGAACTGCGTGGGTCCACTTACACATAGATTTTTGTCAACAAATACAGTATAATACTGGAAATGTAATTTCTCTTCCTTATGATTTTCTTAATAATATTTTCTCTAGCTTACTTTATTGTAAGAATACAGTATATATATTACATATAACATATGAAATAGGTGTCAATAGATTAACGTTATTGGTTAGACTTCTTGTCAACAGTGGGCTGTTAGTACTTAAGTCTTGGGAGTCAAACGTTATGCGTGGCTTTTTGACTGAGCAGGAGGTCAGTGCCCTAAGCCCCACATCATTCAAGGTTCAACTACATTCTTTATCTAGGAAGAACAATTCTACTATTTCCATTTCTATGAGCCAACTACTTACTTAAACTTAATATTTTAAAATATTTTTAAATGTTTATTTATTTTTGAGAGAGAAAGAGACAGAGTGTGAGTAGGGGAGGGGCACACACACACACACACACACACACACAGAAAAATGTGAAGCAGGCTCCAGGCTCTGAGCTGTCAGCACAGAGCCCAATGTGGGACTTGAACTCACAAACTTCGAAACATGATTTGAGCTGAAGTCGGATGCTCAACTGTTTAAGCCACCTAGGCACCCCTTAAACTTAATGTTTTAAAAACATGTCCATAATTTCCTTTATCATACAGTTCTGTGTAGAGATTCCATCAGAGAAATAGAATTCTATTATCTTCTAAGTTTATATTCTCAGACATTAATTCTAACCATCATGGTTGTTCCCTAATCTTATATTTTTACTGGCACTCTCATAATCTCTTAGATGTTAACTTTAAACAAATACCAGTATAGAAGTAGGATCAAAAATTAATTAGTCCTGCAAAAGGGCTTGGGCATTCCCACATATACCAGTGTCAAGGGGAATATGATATGTAGAAAAATAAGATAATTTTTTACATTTTATTTATAATCTACTTTCACCCATCTTCGTTTTGTTTTTAAAACACAAGCCTATTGGCCTCCATTACTTAACACAGAAGAGAAGAATAATACTGCCTAATTTATGAAAATTAATTAGTCCTCAGACTCCAAAAGGATAAATTTTAGCAGACATGGTAATGATAGACTGAAAAAATAATTATTTTTATTCTCTACTCAATTATTCATTAAACATAGTGTTAATAATTATTCACTTTGGGAAACATTCACAAAATCATAAACATACGAAGGCCATATACTTTTACCTAGCTCAGAACATAAAGGCATTTTTTACCTTGGAACATAAACATTTATTACAACATGTTTACAGTCAAACTCATTACTAAACAAACCTTCTAATTCTCAATTTGCCTACATTCATTCACACAAAATACTTACACTGCTTTTAACATCTTTCAGCTTCGGAAGAATGTCTAACCCAAAGCCATCTGCCTGTCCTCGAGTCTTATTTCCACCATTCATGTAGTTGCCAAAAGCAAGAACCAAACCCAGAATTTGCATAACCCCTGGGCCATTTTTTAATGTCTGTAAGATAGAGTAAAGAACATTTTATCTCTTAGACAAAGTTTTCTTTGAATTCTCTTAAGTCAGTGGCAGATATTCATATCATACTAATAATTTTGGGTCACATCCAAACTGTATCATTGTATATTATTAGGATATTTTAAGAGTAGTGTCTCCAAAGTTAACTTTATTTTTTTATTAAATTTTAGTTAACATACAGTGCAATATTAATTTCAGGAGTAGAATTCAGTGATTCATCACTTACATACAACACCCACTGCTTATCACAAGTGTCCTCCTCAGTACCCATCACCTATCTAGCCCATCTCCCACCCACCTCCCTCTGTCAACCCATAGTTTGTTCTCTAACATTGAGAGTCTCTTGTGGTTTGTTTCTCTCTCTTCTCTTTCCCACACTCCTTCCCATAGGTTCACATCCATTTTGTTTCTTAAATTCCACATATGAGTGAAATCATATGGTATCTGTCTTTCTCTGATTGACTTATCTCACTTAGCATAATACATTCTAGCTCCATCCACTTCATTACAGATGGTAAGATTTCATTCTTTTTGATGATATATTCCATCATATATATACATATATATGTACACATATATATGTACATTATACATATATATGTACATACATATGTATACACATATGTATATATGTATATAAGTTATCTTCTTTATCCATTCATCAGTCCATCAGTCAACAGACATTTGTGCTCTCTCCATAGTTTGGCTATTATTGATAATGCTGCTATAAATATTGGGGTACATGTACCCCTTCAAATCTGTATTTTTGGGTAAATACCTAACGGTGAAAATGCTGGATTATAGGATAGTTTTATTTTTAGTTTACCCAAAGTTAGCTTTAGGAAGTTGTACCACCTACAAGAATTCACGTACACATTTGTAAAGTGACAGACACCATTCTAAGCCATTTCTGATGCAACTGCATGGAAAACAAATAAGGTTGTAATATGAGAACTACTAGAAAAGAATGTTGCTGCCGTCACCCTAATTGTACCTACGATACAAATTTTTGGCATAAATTGTAGGAAACCAAAACACAGTTTTAACGATTAATTCCAAATTTAGATTTATCCCTGAAAAGTTCACACTCACTTCTTCCAAAACATGAAGCTTAGCTGGAATTTGCAAGTATTCTTTCCTCTGAAAATGTGTCTTTAATAACATCTTACTACTTTTCAAAATAACTTACCACAACCAGAACGAATGGTACTATTGATTTTTGACAAATTGTTTTAAATGGTAATATTAGTAATTCATGCCAAGCATTTATTCTTTGTTTTCTGGAGAATATTCATCTTCTGTTGAGTCATACAGCTGTTCCTAAATCATTTGGATGGAATCATTAACAATTTGTTGAAGGCCCCTTCCAAAACTGAAGGCAAATAAATAGAGTGCCTTCAAATCACATTTAATCTGAAGTCTGATGTAAGAAAGGACCAGGGAAAGTGAAAATTTTGTTTTGGCAAAAGCAGAAGGGGCAGAAATCCCCGGACGCAGGAGCATAATGAGAACACTGCAGCAACCAGCCCCGTGGCGTGCAACTCTCCGAATTTTTCTTTGATCTTGAAACTAGTCATCGTATGTTCTCTTTTGTGGAACTGCTATTCTCCAAATTTATTTGTAGAGTAAATAACAGAAAACGATTTTGAAATGTGGACATGACTGAACACAATTAAATATCAGAACTCAATCGTCAGCTGTCTATGGACTGGAACTCACCTCACACAATTTCTGTAGCAATTCTAGTTTGCGACGAATTGAGCAAATGCTTTCTGAAAATGTGGACTGGAAGAGGATACAGAAGACTCGTTCTGAAAAGTTGGGGATTAGTGACAGTTCATAAAGGAACCTAAGGAAATAAAGCCAAGTTAAGAAGAATATAATTCATATAAACAGATGTTTATCCTCATATTCGTAACAATTATGCACGGAAGATGCTACATTTTCCAAATGGAAAGAGGCTGCCCTCAACAAGGTCCTGTTCTTACTGTTCAGGTTTGTCCAGAGACTTGGCATTTTCTTTGTCTTTGGAGGACCGGCCATGCTTTTCAATTTTTTCCAGTTCATCTGATTGTGCTCTCTGGAAAATATAATGCCAAACAGTTATTGAAAATCTTAGGAAATGAGTCCCTTAGATTATGATAATCTTAATACAGCAAACTCTATATATTTTCATATTTCTTAGCATCTGTTTGCAGTAAAGCTTGACTTAATTCATGAAGGCATTTTAAAGTGTAAATATGTGTAATGCAAACCAGATCACCTCCAAACCTTCCAAATAATGTTATTGGCTATTAGTGATCTGCAAAACATTTATTTATTTAAGCATGCTTTAAAATAATACAGTTTTCCTCTCTTGTTTTTTGGCTGTTTGTAATACTCTCTAGGATACAAGAATTTCATTTTAAAGTGGTATGTCTTATTTAGAAATCAATCAAGATAAATTTGGAAGTAATTTGGTCATAATGTTATAAGACTTTTAAAGGAAAAAAGTACTTATTTAACCATTGCAATCATTGTTTATGGCTTTTTTTAGGGGAAAAATACAATTGAATTATTAAGTCCTGGAACAAAAATAAAAGGTTGATTTTTCTGCTGAATTATTTTTGACACAAAAATGGTTTTAGGCTTCTTTTCTTCCAAAATATCTTCTTTTACCATTTATAATTACAAGCTAAAAGTCTGTCGTCCTGAATTTGTTTCTTTGTAGGAAAGTTTCTTCTGCATTTTTAATATATGGTGGAAGATTTTTCAGACACGGAGAAACACGCATCTATTCTTCTTTATGAAAAATTTGGATGCTTTATATTTGCAGTCTTTATTTTATAACTCATAAAGATGTTTCAAAACAGCCAAATACAGTACTTCAATGCATTGAGAAGTGTGAGTAGACAACCATATTTTGAATTTGAGTCTAATTTTCAGAATTTAAAATTATTATTTTAATTATTATTTTTTTTGTTTAAACATTAAAGCAGTTTAGCCAAGAACTACTGTATGAGATACACTCTAATAGGTTTATAGAAACTAAAGATTTCATCTGAAAAACAGCTATGTTCTGTTTTGCATTCACTGATTCTTTTGAAATGCAGGTTTCAGGTGATGGTATTTACTAGCAAAGACTAGTTCTTCAAATGAAGTTTCATTTTTTTTTTTATTTTTTAAAACTGCTCACTTTTTATTTTATTCATTTATTTTTAAGTAAGCTCTATGCCCATTGTGGGGCTTGACCTCACAATCCCGAGATCAAGAGTCGCATGCTCTACTGACTGAGCCAGCCATGAACCCTCAAATGAAGCTTCTTTTAACAGCGGAAGAGGGTTTGAAGACAGATCAGTAGATCTTCTGAGGGTTTGTACTGAAAATAAAATTTGCTTTTGAAATACAATGCAACAAAAGATCCAAAGAATTAAAAAGCATGAATTTAATGGAAATATCCCAAGCTACTCCAAAGTTTTAGAACCTGCTTCTAGAATTTCAACTGTATAGTAATCTTGCTTTTTCTCACCAGTTTATTGTGACCTGGCCCAAGAATTTTAGGGAAGGAGACACCACTTATCATAGTTACTGTCCATAAGAGTCAGGCCCACAGATCCCATCATTATACCACTTAAAACCAAGTAACGAGATGGCTTTTAATAAAGACAATGCTCATCTTTCTGGCAAATGAGTGCCCAGGGCAATATTATAAAAGAATATTAAAATTAAGAATATTGATAAGACAAGGGTTATTTTAAGACATGGAGGTCTGCACCAAAATACAGCATATAAAGGGTTCCAGTCCATATAACTTCTCTATTCTTTTTTTAATTTAACTTTTAGTTAGTTAACACACATTGCAATATTGGTTTCAGGAGTAGAATTCGGTGATTCATATCTTACATACAACACGCAGTGTTCATCACAAGTACCCTTCTTAATGCCCATCACCCATCTAGCCCATCTCCCACCCACCTCCCTCTGTCAACCCTCAGTTTGTTCTCTATCATTAGGAATCTCTTGTGGTTTGTTTCTCTCTCTTCTTTTTCCCCCCTGCCCATATGTTCATCTGTTTTGTTTCTTTAATTCCACATATGAATGAAATCATATGATATTTGTCTCTTTCTGATTGACTTATTTCGCTTAGCAGAGCAGAAAATTAGTCTGCTGTCTTCAAACTCAATCACATTCAATACCCAAACGTCAACAGGGAGAAAAAAAATCCACCTTGCTACAATCTGATGAAGTAATTAAGTTTGTTGGTTTAATTTTTGTTTTTAGAACCTTAGATAACCTGACATAGACTCAACCTAGTTGAGTGCTGGTATGAGCAGGTGAGTGATCAGAAGCTGACTCCATGGACTCAGTAAATTTCTCTGGCTCTTAAATAAAAACACATAAAATATGAACAAATAACTATGAGAGAAAAAAAGATGGTTAAGGTAAATCATAATAATAATCAAATATAGGAGAGAAAGATAAAATGTCCCAATGTCTTGAGAATAAAGTGACTTTCTGGCAAAACTGTAGAGTTATTCCCCAAATTATTCAGTATACATGAATTACAAATTGCATAGTCCTTGACACTTATGCTCTATCAGACCATTTCTGCTGACTTCAGAAAGAAAAGTTGCCCAGGGTTGACAGTGCTGCTTTATGGATGATAAGGAAGTAAATGCCACTCCATTCCATACCATACCTGGCCCCTGGGCTCTCTAAACAACAAAAATTAATCAGAGGCCAAACAGGAGTTTCAGGCAAGGCTTTATTGGGGCTTATGGCAGAGAACAAAGAAGACAGCAAAAAAGAAAAGTGTCCTCAGGCTGACTCCTGGAGGAGAGGTCAGGGAGAATGTTTTAAATAAACTTAG